TTAATGTTTCCTGAGACGAAGTTGAGAGAAAAACTTCTACTAATTAAATTTTTCCCGAAGGAGAACACATTGAGTGAAGGATTAAAACAAACAAACAAGCGATGGCCAAACACCACAACTTTCCCTCTTCTTTTGTGGGTTACTGGTAAATTTTAACTAGAGGCAATTTCAAACTGTTATTTGGCCAAGACCGGTATGGCTTTTTAATGCATATTTAGTGTTTCTGATGCAGCCTTTATTAGAGGGCTGAGTTTATTTTATAAATTATTTGTAAATATATACCTTTTGATAAGCGTTTAAAGTCTAAACTGTAAATCACGACTGAGTATTTTCCACTCGAATTTGTGGCCCAAGCACGAAGTATGCGGGCCAGAAATCCAAGTGAAAAAAAGTGAGGTTCTGTAACTTACAGTATGGACCCCAAAACACCAGGTTAGTAAGAAATTTATTAATTATCTCTGGGTTGAAGTAGAGGGGAAAGTTTTCAATTTAAAAAAACCTTTGAATTTAGGGGGATGAACAATGAAATACGGTGCGCTAAATTGGCCAATCGCAGCGCACGTACTAACTGAGAGATATAATAATATGCAAAAAAAGCTGAAATTCAATCGAGATTGTTTGGCTGATGAAATGTAAAGACAAGGACTTTCTAATTTGCCCAGTTGCAGAGTACTTGTGTTTTCTTCTTTTTAATGTTATTATTTTTTCCATCTACAGTGTTAAATTGAATCTGAGCCGGTTTCATGATCGTTTCCCTTATGGTAAACAATATAATTGTAAATTTGTCGAATACATTACACAAGGTTACGACAACTTCACTCACCAGGATATGGCTTCTGTACTTTCGTTCTGTTTCAAGTGAGACAATCCAAGCCGTAGCCACGCCCATTTACCCCTTGAGAGAACAGCGAAGGAACACATCAGCTCGAACAGTTTAGATTGGATTAGAAAGCTATTGAAAGTTGTGCGTAATTGGGTCTAAATAACAGGACAAAAACTTCTAACGAAGAAATTTGTTGATTTTCCTTACCAATAACCTCTACTTACTATGGTTTGACAAAATGAATTAATTGTAAAGACATAAAAAGAGTGAATTACTATATTAGACAAATAATACGCACTCTCCGGGCGATGATGCTGACATAACATTCTTGTACAAGTTGAGTGCAGCAACCTAAAATAACCGAGTAGTTGCAAAAATCAGTAAAAACCAAAAGAATAAAGCGTATTTCGATTCAGTGTCGTAAAACCAAAACCAAAGCAATAACTACAGCCAATTATATCGAGGAAAATATCACCAGGAGCCAATGAGAACTCAAAGTAAAAACAAGCAAACTGCCTGAAGCACGGGAAAATGCCGGTGACCAAGTTGCGACTGGTTTCAGTTTGAAATTCTGATTGGTTCAGAAAGTGGCGCGAGTTTTCTGGACCGATCACATAACCAAGTAAAGCAAAACCAGAGACATACTGGATTACTTTCTACACTCAACTGAAAATTGATCCAAGAAGCAGAGCGAGGTACTGAAGACAATTTGGTGCCATATATTTTGCTGTTCATGTGCATTAAATGGAACATCAATCTACATGATAAATATTTTGGGCTAGTTGTGGAAGAAACAATAGAAAGGGGCTCAGACTTTGTGAGCATCTAAGCTACATAATCAGCAATAACAAATTGAATCACGTCATTCACCTCATTTCCCATTTCCATAAGGGAATCTCCTAAAGCTATTCCTGCGTCAACGGAACTTGGATCTAGGTCAAATGCTTTCTGATAACATCTACTGGCTTTGCTGAACATTGATACAAGAATTAATGATTAATCATTGTGATATCATCTTTTGTTTTATTTCTATATTCTTCTTTTATCATATGATTAGCTTATATAGCTGAGAATAATGAGGCATGTGACTAAACTGTCCTCAATACACCACTAGACGATATACATTACATTAACAAATGGATCTTTTCAGTAGTAATCATAGATAACGTCATCGTTTGGGCTAAAGTGGCCCGCGAGGCGCACTGGTATTCTAACCACATTCTGACATCTTCTGTGATTTCTAAAGGTACAGGCCCATGGCAAGGTGAAATCAATTTGACTAATACGACAAATAAGCAAACACTGTGAATGGTGAAGTCACCTTTACGTCTTTCCTCCAATAGATCATAAGAACCAATCAAAATGCGTGTATCATTCAATTTATGATCTAAAGAAAATGGAAAACTGTTGGACATTTCATCAGACCAACTCAAGAGAATTATGCCTTGACCAAGGTGTTCATTGATGTTTTCAGTGGGAGGGCAACTGATTTTTTCACAGGTGAGCAAAACTGTTTGAACTGAACTTCTTTGTAAGATAAACTTTTCTCCAGATGGTCAAACCAAGTGAGCAAAATCATCCTCACAAGCGATAAATTTACCCAGTACCTGGTCCTGCAGGACCATTTTCACTAAAACCATCTCATCAAATATTCCATGGCTTATCCAGGGGTTTCAGTAAGTTCTCCCATAATCAGCTGCTGATGTCTATTTTAGGAGTTTCATGGTTGATATCATATTTAACACGTGAGAAACATAAATGCTGTGTCGACTACAGTACCTTAAATCTTTTAATACTCTAAGGTAGTAATGTCCCAAGTACAGAAATGAAGGAGAGTAATGGGGATCCAACTTGGCTGCCTAAACAAAATTATGTCAGACATTTTCATGGTTTAACTTACACTACAAATCGAAGAAAGAAAGCTGTCATTTATGAAAGTAAGACAGACAAAAATGGCAATTTTAGGTTATAGGGAATTGGTTCATTGTTTAGCATACATGCACAAATTATGTATGCATGCAGAAAGTCTGGGAACATGAAAAAACCTAAGAGTTTCTAAGGTACAGCTG